CATATCATTAACTTAAATCCTATTCTGTGGTTGTGTTATAGAAAACAACTGTGAAAAAAAAAAGATGCACATGTACATTATTTCTGTATCATGGTAAGGGCAATTCAAGCAAGTTATCCTCTGAGAAAAAGAAACACCATTCTAAGAAAAAGCTTTCTCACTAACTAAGATTTTGCATCAATAACATTCATCATATACAATTATCCATGTTTCATAGCTGATACCCAGCTTTTTTATGTTAGACAAGATATTGCAAATTATATCTCACAGAACCCATGTGTTGTTACTTCTTTGCTGTGCAGAAGAGTGCTTTACAGTGTGTTTTTCAGGGGTGAGGGTGCTGGAAATGGCCCAAGAGAGCACCTAGAGAAAGTTAAATATACCCTAAATTTGGCCCCTGAAAGGGCTGTACCAGCAGTCATCTGATTGGGTCATTCAGCTTGAGTCCATTCTTTTTTTTTTTTTTTTTGACAGAGTGGACAGTGAGAGAGAGAGAAAGCTCTTCCTTTGCCATTGGTTCACCCTCCAATGGCCGCCGCGGCCGGCGCACCACACTGATCCGAAGCCAGGAACCAGGTACTTCTCCTGGTCTCTCATGGGGTGCAGGGCCCAAGGACTTGGGCCATCCTCCACTGCACTCCCTGGCCACAGGCAGAGAGCTGGCCTGGAAGAGGGGCAACCAGGACAGAATCCAGCACCCCAACCGGGATTAGAACCCAGTGTGCCAGTGCCGCAAGGCGGAGGATTAGCCTAGTGAGCCGTGGCGCCGGCCCTGAGTCCATTCTTAAAGAAAACAACAGATAATCTTGCCTAAACATTCCCAGGGCATCTACTGTGTGTACAACATTCTGTTATAACCTGCTGCAATTTTAAGAGTACTTTAGATTTGTGAGGTATCTGCTAATAGTTCAGGCATATATGTTGTTCCCTTTGATTTCCTACAGACACTCTAAGTATGCCAATAAAATCACTTTTCCAGATTCCCAGAGCTAGAAGCTGTTGAACCAAGGTTTCAGTTTGAGTCCTCTCAAATGTGGGAATACAAACATCTAAAATAGAACAAAGTACTTTACAAAGGAAATTGTCTGTGAGAAACACTGATATCCAGCTTTGTGAGGGAGTGAATGCGAATTAAAGAAATATTTCCCTTGGCTAAGATTGAAATTATAGGACCCTTCAAGAGACAATATTTTTGAAATGTTTGCTATGTGCCAGACACATAACTATGGACTTTATTTGCATTATCATATTATAGCACCGACAGAAGCTCTGTACAACAGGGTAATTTTCCCAAGTGCAATCCCTAATAAATAACAGAGCAGGAAGTCACACACTTTTGTGCCATTCTAGAACCCAAGTCTACCGGTTCAGTGATTTTTGGCCTGCTGTTTATCTAGATAGTCTTTTCCTGTTTTCTTTCTGAATTTCTTTTAGAGAGACAAAGAGTAGGGCCTGGAGACATTTAGCAGTCACAAAGAAGCAATAATGTAAGCTATTCATGTGTTTATTAGCCAACTTAATGGACCACCCCTGCACTGGTTCCCAGCTCTGCTCTGGGAATGCACAAAGTGGACCTTGGGAGACAGTTCTGACAATAGCCAGTGTTAGTTCAGAAATGTGAGTGAAATGCCATCAAAGCATGAACAGAAACAAAGCTAAGGAATCCTATAGAGGGTTCAGAAAGAATACCAAGGAGATGGCACTTAAGTTGTGTCTAAAAGTGTATTTCTGGGCAAAGAAATGAGAAAGAGCATCCACATCTTCAACAGAAATCTGTATGAACAGTCAGAATAATGGAAAGTATTCCTATGTAGGGGTGAACGGGAGATTGGTATTGTAAAACCACAGGATTCAGTTGCAGGAGGCAGAGTAATGCTCTAAAAGGCTTTCCATGTCAATAAAAGGAAATGGGACTGTATCCTGAGGGTAACAAGAGCCAGCACACAGTGACCATCAAAGTTAAATGAATTTCAATTTTTAGGAATATGACTGGCAGTCTTATGTTGAATGAGCAAGCCAATTAGAGTAAAAGCTAATGAAGAACTGGATGTAGATGGAAAGTCTTTTCTTGGTTTATTTACAAATCGTAAATAAAAGGCACAATAATCTAGTAAGTAGTCAACCAAGTAATGTAACTGGTGCAGCCAGGTTGTTACTCTCTGAGAGAGTAGGCATGCAACTTGTTTCTTGAAAGTCTTCATTTATTCATTCATTCAACAAATACTTATTGAGCTCCTGCTATGTGGCTAAGCACTGGTCTTGGAGATGTTCAAATAAAGGAACAAGTTCATAATGCCAAATAAAGCAAGAACAAAAAAAAAAGATGGAAAATAAATCAAGTATAAAAACAAAGAAGAAAGGAAAGTAACTCCTAAAACATTTAAAGTGACAATGAGGTTTAAGAAAGCAAGCATCTGATTAAGAAATCATTTCATTAAAAGAACCCTACAGTCTGAAGGTTTCTCTCTCAGGAACTGCACACTGTGGGCTGAGATTGAGTAGAATGGTTTCCCATGACTTCTTTTGAGAGATCAGTAAATCTACTGAAAGGGTAATTTAGGTTTATTGTTCAGAATCCTCTAATTTTATGTTGAATCTTTCCTGTTTAGGATTTTAAAAGAATGATGTAGATATAATCCAAAAAGAAGGGTTGGGCTCAAAATGAGGTATTTCAGCTCTTCACGTAGTCTTGGCATGGAGATTATATTCATATATATGCACAAAGCTAAAGATGGATGATGGTGGAACTTTGGTCAGTTTATATAGCACCACACAGTACTAATTGCAGGAACCAAGTGGAAGAAACATGGGGAATAATCAATATCTCCTGTGTCTGAATTCCTTGGACTTTCATGTCAGTTTAATAAAATCTCTTCTTCATCCCACTGAGCTTTTCTTTCACTGTAATTACATGGAAAAGAAAAGTTTTTGAGACTTTTATCCAAGACAAAAAGAAATAATTTTGCGGTGAAAAAAGTCTGGAAGATGAGACAATAAAGCATTTAATTATAGAACTATAATTTTTCAAAGCAATTTTTCAAAATTGTGAGCCATTTTAAAAATGGCTTAAAATCAGTACTTTGTCCACTAAACTGCCATCAATAGGATTTGTGGCTTTAAACGATAAAAAAAAATGACAAAACAAAAAATACAACACAACAAAAAAACAAACAAAAGACCAGACATAGTTCTTCCAATGTGTTATTCTCAGAAAAAAAAAATAATCAAAACCTCTCTGATCTTCTGGAACCTCTCCTGGGCTTTACAGACTACACATAATGACAAAGATACAGAAGCTCATTTGTACAGTATTAACTTAATGTTAATTTGAAACAAAATTAAGGTTTATAATGCTTATAGTTTCCTTTATTCTCCATAAAATAGTCAAAGTTTTTAAAAATCAATTTCAGATTTGAAAGAAGTGGACCCTTAGCTTTCCAAACCTGAATAAATGAATTTTGTTAGAATCTAAGAGTAACAACTTATCCTAAGGAAATTAGCAGTGTAGGACATTTACTGGACAAATATCACATTCCTTAAAATAATTGTTATGACATTTTAATGCATTCTCACCATGAAGCATTTTCTTGCAAATGAGTAAGCCTGACCATGTCTTAGCAATTATTTCACAGGAGAAATTTAGGCCCTTAGAAATTTCAATCAGAAGACTACCAGGAAGGAAAATACAAAACAAATTAAATACCAGAAAGAAATGGTCTAATACATAGAAGTAAAGCAGTTCATGAAAGAAACCTACATGTTTGTGTGGTAAAAATCTGAAAATGATTTCATCTTTTCTAAGAATGCCAAGGGTAAAAAAAAGAATGCAAGAGGTTTCTCAAAATTAGTATTCTTTTCATAAAAAACATTGGTACGTTTCATATAAAGACAAACAACTAAATTCTTAAATAACCATCAGAATATGCCCTCTAAGGAGTTATTTTTCTTAAGGATAACTCTTTCATTCCATTAAAAAATCTTTAATCTGGGGTTCTCTATTTTCATTCTTTCATGAGCTCAATCACTGTTGGAGAAAAGTTTTTAAAAGATGTCATTTCAAGATGTATGCTTTTTCCCTCATTGTTCTTTCTACTGCTACCCTGAATCTGGAAGGAGTGTTGGAGTTTGTCATTATCTGAACAACAACAACAACAACAAAAAAAACACCTCACGGGTTATTGTAAATGCCAGATCTTTACATGATCACAATAAACTCAATCTATCTTTCCTGATAGAGCAACTGAGAGACAGTGTTAAAGATTTGTACCAGGGCATGATAAAGACTAGTACATCTAAAAGTTACTCTCCCTTATCTTTATTGATCTTCTGAATGGTAGTTATTGCCCAACTATGTTCTAATCTTCTTGTTCTCAACAAGAATCTGGTATTTTGAGTCTCCTGTGTGTTCCATTTTGCAACTGCATTGGTTAACAAAGAGTCAGGTTGACCCTGCTCCCTGACAGTGGTGGTGATGGGAGGACTATACCTTGTTAAGTTACGACACATGGCTTTGGGGCTAGCAATCTTTCATTTGGTTGCCCACAGGGTACCTACATAAGGAACTACTCAATCAAGCCACATGAAATAATCTTTTGGCTGCTATCGTCTTATAATTAGTTTTCCACAAGTTGTTATTCTCTCAATATGACATTCTTGCCCCCAAAATAGGTCTGTGTCTGAATAACAAAGAAATAACCTTTGGTCACTGATTATTCTTTCTATATTTTAAAGATGAATTTGTGCATATTTAGATATTTCTTAAATATCTTAGCTGCCAACTCTATGTAATAGTAAATGTCCAAAGCCCTTTATTATCAGTTGCTAAAAACATAATTTTTTTGGGTTCCTTAAAACAGGGCATGTTGATTTCTGAATCGTTGTCAAATAAATTTTAAGGTCAAAAATGGGCCCTTTGACTGAATATGCAAAGTTTCCCCTTAAACCACCTTGAACTAGGCAGATTTGCAACATTTTAAACTGGCACTTCATCCCTCTTTCAGCAAGCATCCTCTGCAGATTTAATGATCAGGAACATCCTTCTGATGCATGCTGGGAGATATGGCTGCAGGGTACAGACCACAGCAGACAGTGTGTCAGATGAGGCAGAACTTCTTGTTAGGGGTGAGTATGCTAATAGTGCAGTCTGAAGACATGATCACCATAAATTATCATACAAAGGAATTTCAATGCATGGACTTTGAGCACATCAGTACTGTGCATTTTACTTTCAGTTTTACAATATATGTCATTTCTTTGCTTAACCTTTTGCCTTTGAAAAGATTACATTGAAAATTGCTCCTTAGTAACAGACAAAACCTACAGATCCAGCTTCAGGGTCCAAAACACCTTTAGTCATAAGTGGTCACTAAATGTTTAACCAGTTTAATGCCAAGCAGAAATTCTAAGCAGTAGAGCTACTAAGGTACTCAGAATACTGAGCAAAAATGTGTGTATATATGTGTTTTTCAAATGCAAAGGCAGTAGAAAGTCCAGGCGGTTTATCCCACCACTAACTCATGAATGCTACTTCCAAAAAGAGGAAAACTATACATGTAAGATGGTGGCATTTGCAATTGTTAAGTAGCAGGCATTTTTAAACGTCTGAAAATGTCAACACACAGTCTGTGCAGCAATGACAGTTCAGTGGTTTCCAATGACAAGTCAGGCCACAACCTCTGCAATCGTATGAAGCTACATCTTATTTGAACTAAGCAAATGACTAGAGGACCCATCTCCTTCAACACAGTATAGGAAGTGCAGATACAAGGACGCATTTCTCCCTTTTTACCTCCTTCCTTCCTTCTCTTTCTTCCTTTCTTCTTTCCTTCCTTCCTCTCCTCTCCCTCCCTCGCTCCCTCCCCCTTCCCTCCTTCCCTTCTTTCTTCCTTTTCTGTTGTTTATTGACCTACTGCATACCTAAGACAGTTTCATAAATCATATTTACATACATGCACAACACAATGAATAGTGACATAGTGAACACACCTGTAACTACCATTCAAGGAAAGAACTAAAACTTTATCAGAATCTCACCTCTTGCTTTTTGATCTTATGCAGTTACATAATGAATGGTATGAATATTGCATGCTCAGATCCTGTGTATAGTCTCTACAAATAAAAATGGTATAATATATAGCAAGTTGTAATATTTTTGATTAACTGGTCTTTTATCTATCAAGGGCATTTTACAATTAAAATTTTTTAAATTTATTATTATAAAATTTTGAACAGTTAAAATGAGGCATATCACAAGCTTCATCATCTCTGGTTGTATATATCATCAAATGTTTATTAATTTTTGATAATTCATCCATTACTGATTCAAGTAAAATGTCTTTAAAGGAGCATGTATGTTAGTGGCAACTTGTCCATTTTTTGTGTTTGTTTCTGTTCAGAAGGCTATTTGTTCCACATTTTTAACAGAATGTGTATTGTATTTCCTTTATTATAAAATACTAAATTCTTAAAGTGCTCATCCTTTCAATACATTCCATCCCATTTAGCTAAAAATCTCTTCTGAAGTAACCAGGCTCATGGAACTGCAAGCACAAGACTGCAGTCAAATTTGTAGAAAATTGCCTTCTTCTCTTGGTATGGTCTGTTTTAGATTATGTGGATTTGTTTGTGTACTTGCCTAGTAATTTAGAATGATGCTCCTAAAGTTGGAGCTTTCCAAATCAGCATGACAATTTAAAGACTGATAACAAGAAACTAGGTATTTTTGCAGGACTATAAGGGACAAATTTAAGTGGCAAACTAACATTCTGCTTTGTAAGTAAAATTAAACTCAACAGGGTTTAGAACATAATCGCATTCGGCTTTTTCATGTTCTGCGCTTTCAGCCTTTGGCTTTATGCCTAGGAGATGATAAAATGCAAAAATTTGGAAATTATACCCAATAGCAATTCCAAACAGGTTGCCATTGTCTGAATATTCATGTAACATGCAGCTCAAGATTCCTCTTGAAGTGAATTTGATCAAGTCACCTATTTTCTGTTATATATTTCCATTAATTTCCTAATATTAGTAAAATAGGTTGCCTCTTCTGCCCACTTACCCTTAGGCAGATTTAAAAACTGAAACAAGGGTTTTCATTTTTCTTTTTTTTATTTGTTTAAATCTCATAATTGAAGGAAACTGGATGTTTGAATATTGACATTTTTAATGTTGCTTGTAAACTGATATTCAAAATAGTTACACTCCACCAGTGTCCTTTCTCCCACTCTTCCATTCATTGCTTTGTAAACACAGGGCATCCTTAGAGTGCGGGCCACAGGGCCAACACTGAGTTCTAGAATGAGCTTTTCTAATGATGGCTAAAATTCTAGCAAAGGACATTTATTCCAGTGTGCACACAGAAACATGGGAACTATAGAAACAGTCCATCATCTTCTTTTTTTTTTTTTTGGTAGAATGTCATCATTGGACTGTTTGGATAGTTCACTTTACTTGTATTTATCATGAGAAATATACTTGGGTGGTGAGAAATACATTCTTATGATTCTATCCCAATGGAGATCCAGGAGGAGAATACAGTCTCTTGGATTGATGAAGCTTTATTTTTTATTCTCTTCTTTTCCATTAAGGGTTTTCTATTATAAATCTATTGTACATCTTAACCAAACCCTATGATTCTTCTACCTTCCCCCACCAGCACACTAAATTGGTGCTCAGGGGTGAAGCTTAATGACCTCATCATTGCTTGTTTAAAATCTGAGTGTTTCTGAGTAGTAATGTTCCCTTCCACTGTCTCCATTCACTAATTTAAGGGCTTTCACTCAAATGCTTGTTTGCACTTTTGCTTTATTTTGCTTCTCCATGTTAGTGCTATTATTTACCTCTATTCTACCATTATCATCATTACCTAAAAATTGAATTTTCTATAAATAATCATCTGAAGCATAAAACCACTGGCTCTCACAAATTTAATCTTCAGTGAACCAGAACTATCACAGTATCATACATAAAGGGGAGAACCATAATAGAAATAATGAATATGTTAGCAGAAATTATGTTTCTATAATAGAAAAAGAAATTGAAGCCACATATGGACATCTGAGCACAAGCTGAGTCACTTTTTTAAAGTGTGCTAAACAACAACACAGAAAGGAAATCTAAACAGTGCTATAAGGAACCTCTTTAAAGATGGGTAGAACTCTATCACGCTATCCAGGGAAACATAGATCATTAAGAGATAACCCCACTGAGAGGGATACAATTTATTAGGAAGTCATTCTGCCAAGCAAGATGAGAAGTGATCAAAGATCACATGAAAGGCTCCAGAGAAAAGAGTATTACTTATTATTTTTAACAGAAATCAATGTTAGAATGTTTCCCAAAACAAACAGAAGGGTAAGAAACTTAATGGTTCAAAGAATAAAATGTTCTTTGCTAAGCCGGGAAAACAGGGAGTTGGGGCACAAGATCTTTGAATTCTACCCAGACGCAGAGGGATCAGGAAAAGTTACACTTTTCATACATCTTCTTTATTTATATTACTCTGCTTCTTAGTGAAAAAACAGGTTTAAAAACCCTAAGAATAGTCAAATGATTCAGTAATCTCTTGGTTCCTTTTGAATACATAGAATTTCCCTGATGTGGACATTTTCATTTCCTGAATTATAATTTACTAGACTAATCTAGTATATATTCAGCTGAATTTGAGAAGAATGAATCCAGTTCAGGAAGCAACTTGTTGGGAGACATCTAACTTACCTCCAATGGCAACCCCATCACTTTCTATTCCTGGCATAGGCTTCAACTTTTTAATCCAACTTCCTTTACCTTTCCAATCGATCCAGTTCCACTCATTCCTTGGATATTTTAATGTTATTCTCTCCCAACAGTGTTAGTCACTTTTCAGCCCCAAACTAAATCAATTGAAAGTCTAACTGATGCGTCAATGAAATAACTTACCAGGTATTAGTTTATAATTTCCTGTTCATTTGTTCACTCACCATTCATTCAGTGCTTGCTCCGTCTCTGGCAGAGTTCAGCACAGAGAAAGGAAGGGTGAAAATGCCAAGGTCTGAGTCCTCTGTGAAGTTCTACATCCTTCTGTCCACTAGTATGAGAGGCACCTTTGGAAGTGGGGTGAGAACATCAAGGCTCCTTTTAAGCTCAGGGCCCTGTGCAACTGCACCGCTCACACATCCATGAAGCCAGCTTTCCATAGTTATTAAATGTATATATTAATCTACAGAAACAAAAGGACTTTAGCAAAGGAAGAGGATATATTTCAGCAAAATGGTCACATTTGTCTCCTGTGTGAAGTTACGATAGCAGAGGTGGGCATTTGGTCTCGGGGTAAGCCGCTAGTTGGGGCACATGCATCCCGGATCAGATTGCCTGGGATTCAAGCTGAGGCTCTGCTCCATATTCCAACTTCCTGCCAATGAACATCCTGCAAGGCAGCAGGTGGTTCAAGGGATTGAGTAATCCAGGGGATAGGAGCATGCCCACTCTGTCTCTCTGCCTTTCAAATAAGGTGAATTAGAGCATAAAAATCTACATATGAGGGTTTATCAGCTTTTTACACAAAAAGATCTTTCATTATTTTACTCCATAAGCCATATGCTTTAAAATGTTTTATTATATTGAAGCAATCATTAATTTCTGTTTCTATTTTAATTCCAAATAAAGCTTCCAATCATGAGAAATTGATGCTACCAAACTTGCCAATATAATTCCAACTGACAGCAAAGAAGTTTTATCTTTTATCTGTAGTGAAATTTTATCAGTTCTTTTTTTATTGTTTTTGTTGCTTGTTTTTTCAAATAGGAAGTAACCTAAGGCCACTAATTTCTACTTTTTTTAAACCAATTTGGGAACTTTTGATTAAGTACTCTCCAAATTCTCCCCAAGCCCTAAGTTTTTATTGATTCTCTCAAGCAAGATAGAAATATTTGATAATTTTCTTTTTGCCTTTGGAAAGGAGGTATAAACTATCACTTTCACAAAAACAAAGAAAAACTAAAACTCAATGAAGATGATGTATATTTAATGTGTTGTTAATTGGGAAATAAAGCAATATTAATGTATTCTGTTTTCACATGTCTCTCAGCAGTGTGCTGTTGATCCATATAGAGTCTAAATTGATATAAATGTCCATTTTTATCATC